GGGGGAGCCAGAGTCTATCCCAGCAAGCAACAGGCTCAAGGCAGGGCCCACCCAGGACACCCAGTCCATCACAGGGCACACACCAGGGCCAGTTTTCCCAGAAGGCAATCACCCCACCAGCGTGTCTTTGGACTGGGAGAGAAAACCGGAGCACCAGGAGGAAAAACTCACATACATGGGGAGAACATGCAGACTCCACCCAGATACTGTAGCACCCTAGGAATTCAACCCATTGCTACTACAAGGTAGCAACGCTAACAACTGCACCATCATGCAGCCCTAAGAATAGACTTAACAGACTATTTTAAGGCAGCATTTTCCAGGAACACATTAAAAACAACTTTTGTTAAATCAGAGCCTATTTTTGCACGTGTATAGTGAATGCAGCCCAAAGATTCCAAAATCCATTAATTATGCAAGGGGACCCACTTCATTCAGCACTGATGTGCAGCCCCCTTCTGCAATCAAACCTCGAGAGGGATTTTGACCAGAGAGTTGTAGCAGCAAACACCTCTGGAGGGAAGAGCTCCACCTAGTGGTTCACCACCAGATGGTCAGTTGCAATCTGCTTTTCCTTGGTCATTCCTCTAATGACCAGTTCCAGCCTTAGCTAAGCTTCTGATAATCAGCAATTAGTGAAGTTATTGTTGTTAGACGAGGAGAGAAAGGCAATGCAGTCTACTTCCGTTCTAAAGCTTGCAGGACTCTATGTAAGTATGCAGTAAGCTCTTGAAAATGAAATGTGAATTAAAATGTCTGTTGTCAGGATGTAGTTGTTAGGTTTAAGGTGTATTAATTGTTAATTTGCACCAATATTAATTCAAACGTGAAATGTTGTGCACCTAAAAGAGCTTTTCCCCCCCCATTTTAAAATCAGTCTGCTATAAAAACTTTATAAATATACACAGCCCAAAAATCTCAATTATACAGCCATGCTAATTAACACCTCCTTGTCCAATTAGCAATGCAGCTACAAAAAAAAGGATAATTTAAATCACAGGTGCAACAGCAGCTCACCCAGAATAGCTGTGATAAAACACATCATTTGAAACGTTGGCAAATTATTCCTAACCTTGTAATATTCAAAATCCACTCTCATCTTTCAGAAAGCAAGGAGTTTAAAAATAACAAGAGGATCCAGACTTACAAGCCTGTCCGTTCTGACTTTGAGGCTTTTAAAAGATTGCAAGCTTAGCTTGTCCAGTAATGGAGTCTCTAAACCCAAAGTCCAACCTGGAAATAGTATTCTTCAATTTGGCACAAAAGCAACAAACCAACATGTTTGTCTTGTATAATACGAACAATAATGGAACAGCAATAAATTAGTATTTGATTTAAATTCTACCATTAAAGTGCCACTGTACCCAATAGTCAAAACTGCAACAGAAAAAAATATTATGACTTATTAAAATGAGTACAGTGAGACTTTCAATTAAAAAGTGCGCTAAAGACACAATGACAGATCCTGAGCCACCACACTGCCCTTTCTTACATAAGGGAACAATTATGCACAAGAATTCACACCATGCATCTATATAATGCCTATTCACTAACTTATCACCTTGAGATAAATATCATGGAGTCTTAAATCATACTTAAAGGAAAATAAAGTTGACAACATTTCGGCTGTGTGACACCTGTAGAAGGCTCCACACCTGAAACTTCATGTCTCTTTTCCTTTCAGCAGGGAATAAACCTCCACCTGTCCCTCTGCAGCCCTCGCATGCTGACGCAGCTCCCCACCTGAACTTCCTAACTCATGCTTGCCAATGTACCAAATAAGTTTATTTCTTCCTACAAAACAGCTGGTTAAGATGTTAATTAAATCAAGAAACACTGTTGTGCATACCTGGAATCAAAGACTGTCGAAACAGTGCCTACCAGTCGAGACGTACTGTAAATAGTTGGCCTTTGTAATACTTAGATCTCAGGTCTAACCAATGTTTTTCCTCTGTTGTACAGATGACAAAGCGAAAGAGCTCAGCCCCTTTGAGTACGGTAAGGAGACAATCCGGACATGTGGGGAATGTGTTTATGAGCAGGCTGAAACAGTAAAGTGTAGGTGCCGTGGATTAGTCATTAGAGTTCTGGTATGCAAGAGGGACACAGACTCCTGTCATTGACCCTTTGTTTTCCCATGTCCTGGTCTGCTCATCCCCCATTTCCTATCCAAACAAGAAGATACAAAAACCTAACTTTCCCAATTTAGCAAAATCAAAAGGATGGCCAATCTTCTGGCTCTCTCCAGTGATAACTGAGTCATGTGACCCATCACAAATGAGCAATTTGGGAGATCACGTGACCAGGACACCAAGATGACAGCCCAACACTCTTAACTTGTTTTTGTGGCCCAGTGCTTTCAGTGGGTTTTTGTTGTGGGGGGGTGAGGAAGAGAATGGACTTCCTTCCTCTCCAATCGCGATCAATGAAAAGGCTAAAAATGCTTGACCCTCCAGAATTGGCCAAGACAGCTGCCATTCTTGAATGCGCGAGAAGAGTTGGACGAGTGGAGGTGGCAGTGTGCCCTCCTGCGCTGCAGCGCTGGCACAGAACCCGAGTGCCCAAGATGGCAGCCACTTGTCTCCGAGTCGGGCTACATCTCGGACAGCTCACGATCCGGCATGAGAGATCAACCTCGAGGACTGATCGAGATGAAACAACAAGGAGTCACTCGGGGCTTCTGTACCCCTTCATTCGTAAGGTCCCCCTAGATAATAACCTGGATCTCCAGTGTCGATGCTGCTGTAGACCACGCACACCCTGGCTGCAGACAAGCTAAACCGGTGCCACATTTGCACAAGGCTACAAGAGGCATCTAGTCCAGCAGTCTACAATCTGACTCCTCTATAAAAAGGTTCGGAACATAAGTGTACTCGACTCTGGTAATGATGTAGACGCAGAAAACCTCGGCGTGAGACATTACTCTAGGGTTAAAAGGTTTAGGCTCATGGCTGTCACAGATGTCGGGAGGGACAAACCGTGGAGAAGCAGGAGAGCGAAAAAGACCCCATGCGAGGCAGCGGAACAGGGAGTTAGCCCGGGCTCAGCAGTGCAAAGAGCTCTGGAGTGCCGTACAGAAACCTACGCCCTCGGGCCTCGGACGGAGCGGCGGCCTGGTGCTGGGAGGGTCTCAGGACATCCGAACGTCAATGCTGAGCGAAGCAGAATAAGTAGCCCGGAAATATAAAGGAGAGCAAAGCACAGGGAACTAGGGACAGGACAGAGAAGGAGCACCCTCTGGCTACAGAGGGCGTGACAGTGGCGAGACAAACTCCAACAAGCTTAAGAGTCGGAGGCATAAAACCAACAGCCGCTACATCAGAGGCTGTTTCGAGGTGTGTTATTGGCCAAACAGGAGCAGTCAGTGAGATGAGGTTTTAAATGGGACGGCCAGCAGGTTACAGACCTAGTTAGGGCTGGGAAGGTCGAGAACATCAGGGATCAGCCCCAGTTCTATATTTCTAATTTTAATAATATCTCCATATAAAAAAGGAAGTTTTGGCATGTAGGTTCTCTGTGCGAAGTTACCAGGATATGGGTACCTGCCCCTCTCCCCCCATGCTGGCAGACAGAATCTATTCATCTCAGAGGAGTAGTCATATCCGAATGCGATACTGTCAATTTATTTATTTTGTTACCGAGATTAAATAACTGGTCTGAGAAACTGGGACAGCAGTTTTCCTTTAACTCATTCTCTCCATAAGTCTCCAATCTCCTTTCATCCGTGTACAAGTAACTCCTTCTGTCCACTCTCCCAACAATTACCACAGGACACAGACGCAGATTTAACCTCACTGTCCCTCCCACACTTTCAGATCCATTTCTGTGGCTTGCGATTCTTTGAACCTGAAACAAGCAAAGGGCCGCAACTCTGACCCCACAAGACCCACACCCTCCTGATCAGGATATTCTCGCCAAGATAAAACACAGCATGGGGGATATGTTCGTGTGCGAATGTTTTATTGATTATACGCCTCCATCCTTTATCCACACGCATCCCCTTCCCACCACATATCACGCAATGACAACGTGGGACTTGGGTGTTAATGGAGATGGTCTCCATCACCATCACAGCAGTTTTTGGCTGCATAGGGGCGTCATCTTGGAAATCATGTCAGAGTTCATTCTTAAGAAAGGGGTGCTTATCTCACTCGTATTGACTTTTACCCGTTTCTCTTTTAACTAGCCCCATTTAACCTTTTCTCTAACCCTGTTCAGTTCTGTCTGCTTCCCGTCTTGAACTACTTATATTGGTATGTGAATTATTATTGACAGATTTGGATTTTATTCTTTTTGTACATGCATTATAGAGTTTCATTGCAAACGGGGAATTACTTTGATCTTTCCATTGCAGTCACGATAGGAATTTCTGGTTTCTTCTTCCCTTTTTTAATTAAGGCTAAGTCCACCCTGTCTGTCCTATCAGTCATCTATATGTTTGTATTCCAGGATATGTTTAGAATCCAAGGCTGTCCGGAGCAAATCGTCAATATGCCTCTCTCTTCCTAGATTACGAAAGCCTGAGGATTGGAGGGCTGGTGTTTGCAGTGGTGCTCTTCACCCTGGGCATCCTGCTAATCCTGAGTGAGTACCTCCATGCATGCAGAACCACTCGCACGGACGCACGTGAACTTGTACACTTCGTGCCTGGCAGTCCATAGACAACTGGTGTGATGCTCTTGAGATTCGGTCCCACCTTTTCCCTTGTCCTAACAATCCCCAAATCTCAACCCAGTGGAGCATGTAGCTCAGTCTCACGCACTATCAACTTTATCACAACCTCATTTCCAAATCATTGTCCCCTGATCTGGCCTTTTAGCTCAATATCATTTTGCACCCTCGTCATCTACATATCAACTCCACATCTATCTAAATCAGACATGAATTCAGTAGCCGGCCCAACAATGTATAAATGGATTCAAGACCAACATCCCTGAACTCTCTTGTTCTCACCTTTGGCTGGATCCATTTGTCTTGGTCCTGGAGTGTTTCCAGACTAGGAGAGTGCCAGAACATTTTATTCTCTGATCGTGAGGACCACAGACCCAGTCTCAGTTTCAGAAGTGATAAGATCATACATGATCAGTCTCTGATCTCGCCCTGGAATGCGCAGCTCAGCTGGTTTCATTTTGAAATGATGTCCGTAGGGAACTCAGATTTGGCATTTGATAGCTCACTGCACAATTAATTTCTTGATTTAAGCAACCTGACAATTGCCAGTATGGGCACCGTGGCTGGCATTGCTGCCTCGCAGTACTGGGGCCCTCGGTTGAATACACGGGGTGCTCTCTGCATGTTCTCCCCATCTGCACATGCGTTTCACCTACTGTATGTATTCGTCTCCCTGTCCAAAGATGTACTGCTAGTTTAATTGGCTGCTGGGACAATTGGCCCTGGTTTGAGTCTGTGTGTGTGTGTGTGCCCTGTGATGGACTGGCATACTGTCCTGGGTGTACTGCGCGTCATGCCCATTGCATGCTGAGATGCCGTGCGACCCCCGAGTCGAAACCAGCAGTTAGGAAACGGACCGACGATTTCCAACATCAGATCTGAACATCCTTGCAGGAAAATTCCTTGATTTAACCACTTCAGATTAGCATGGAACATGTGTTCACTGGAGGCAAAACCAAGCTTATTGCATGCAGGATTCAAACAACTGGCGCCCAGGGGTTTGAACAGAGTTTCATTGCAGCTTTACTTGCTAAAACTCAGCAGATCATAGAGTGGCCATTGACCGCAGAGCAGAAATCAGGCTCCTTTCTACAACAGGCAACAGTGTCCCATTTGAGAGGTGGGCCAGCAGTTGTCACGGAAACCGTTGTGTTTACGTGATTCTCTAAATGTTCATCTTCCTGTTCCCTCCTTAACGGGCAAAGGGTGGTCAGAAGATCTTCTTTCATTTTTATGACGCGGAGAGGGCCTTCCTCTCCCGAGTAAGCCTGGGTTGCTCAAGACGTCCGACGAGAGACAGAGTGCACCACCGACAGCCATATTACTTGAGTGCGCTTTGTGAAAAAACACAAACGTTCGACAACTGCAAGAGCCTGACCGTTTCTATCTCCTGACAGGCAGGCGGTGCCGTTGCAGTTTCAATCAGAAGCCCAGGTAACGTTCATTCTTTCCGTGTTGTGGCTTCCCTGCACATTGTAAGAGTTTCCTTTTTTT